GACTATGTCCAGGGATGGAATTTCCCCTATATGTCTGGGCCTTTGTCCCAGTATTTGACCCCTGGCAAGAATATTTTTTGAATTCTTCACTTGTTGCAGTTTGCAACTTGCACCTTGCCCTTTCACCATGTTCCTTGTGAGAAAAGTTTGGCCTCCATATTCTTTATAACATCCATTCAGCTGTAGAAATTAGGAATTAGATCCTACCTCCCCAGGCCTTTCCTTCCCAGGCTGAGCAACCCCCTATCAGACTCTTCCTGCATGTCACAAGCTCCTGTCGCCTCTACCAATGCAGTGACACTCTCCTTAATTCACTCTGTCTCCTATGGGGGTCCACAGGACTCCACGTGCAAGCTCCCATGTGCTGCCTAGAGGGGGATACGGGCTTTGCTGAACCCGCCGAGTCCTTGCTAAGGCTGCTCGGGATGTGACTGGCAATGATCATCACTGCGGCTGCTTCTTTGGTGGGAGTCGCATCACTGAGAGCTTCTTCTGCTGTTCAGACTGGCTTCAGAGCTGGATAAAGGAGCAACATAACTGGCATTAAAGAGTAATGGCAACTGTTAGCACCTGAGGGCAAGGTCCCAAAGCGGTTGCCATTGCCTTTGACATCTTACCTCCAAGACTTTCACACATTGGCTACAATTCTGCCCTTATTCTGCTCCAAGCATTCATTCCCATCAGGGCAGTACTTTTCACTGACTGTTGTGGTGCAATTGGCACAGGTCCTGCGGGAGTGCTTCCTGCTTTATGGACCGCAAAAGCATGAGGAGAAAGAAGCAATACAAGGCATGGCTTTGTTTTCAAATGTTACCAGCTAAGGCTCCTCAGGCAGACTGGCTGTTCTCCAGGGGTGGGATTTTTTAGACATTCGCTGATGCCAGCCTTGCCTTGGGAAGCAGAGCAGGACTGCTGCAGCACCTCATTTTCTTCACTGTTTACCTCATTCTCTTCTCTCAGAGAAAGTCAGCTTTTCACAGGAAAAATACCTATCTGTCTGGCTAGAAAAAAAAATGACAGGGTACAAAAAATGATACAGCTTCTTTTGGGAAGGGAACCACAAGGAAGGTTTTACATTGTTCAGTGGGCTGGGTGACCTCCTGTGAAGGCCCTTAGCTATCTTTCCAAATGACACCCAAAGCTTCCTTCATCACTGAAGAGTTCTTCTGTTCACATCCTGGCTCCCCATGCTGGGCTCTGGCTGCCCTGAAGAACTCTTGGCTTTTCTCACATGCTGGTGATTGTTACTGCTGCCTTTGAGGCAGAAATCCCAGTTCTCACAAAAATATGGTGCAGTGACTGGAGAGCAGCATCTGGAACTGACCGGGACCAGACAACGCTCCAAGCAACCCCTTTGCTTGTCTTTATTCTCCCCACCCCTTCCCCTGTTGTGTTTTTCTCCCTTTATTTTTCAGCTTTATAGAATTCCCACAGCGGGCAGGGCCTTCATGTTGCGCTGCCCCGGAGAGACTTGGACCAGAGGCAATGCGGACACAAGCTGTGTGGATTTTCTCTCTGTGGGGATCCTCCCTCTCCTCCATCCCCTTCCCTCAAGGATCGCTCAGACAAGACGACAGTGTTGGTGCAACACCAGTCAGAGCCTGCGAAGGGACACAGCGTTCTCCGAGCTGGCGCCAAGGGCTTGGAGACCAGATGCAGATGTGCATTTGCCAGCGAGGGGTCGTGGGAGGAGAGCAGGAGGAGGGACAGACCCACCCCTCTCCCATGAGCACCACTGGGAACAGTACAATGTCCCTTGCCACACAAGGCACTCACAAGTCTGTACTGCTGTTGAGGTGGAGACCAGGATTACCTCCAACCAGACACGCTGCTCCTTGTGCTGCAGGATGAAGCCCAGGCCTTACTGTAGCACAGCAGGAACAGCTTGTGGGAAGGACAGTAGGGAAGGAATAAGGAACGGGGAGGTGGCCCTTGCTCAGGGCACTGGAGAGGTTTGGAGAGGGGTGCTGGAAAGGAAGCAGCTTTTCTAATCCACGTGTCTTTGGTTACCTCTCTAATCCTGCCAGTTCTCAGATAAATAAAGAACACTGTACAAACTGCATCATGAGAATAAGCCACCCCACAGACCACCCCAAGCTGGTCTGATCACCTCACACAGCACAGAGAACTTATTCACACCCTGAAGCGAAGGGAACACACTATATACCATGGCATTTCACGAATTTCTCTGTTGTGTCTTACTGCCGACTTCAGCCCGGCTGGTTTGGTCTCCCATAAGACCCACCCTGGGTGGGAAGAGTGCGCAGTGCCCTCCAGCCCCTGCCCACAGCACGTCTCCCTCGCGCCTCAGCCGTGGCTGCGGAAAGGCAGTTACAGCCCCATCTCTCCACCCACGGTGACATCCTCCTACTGGGACTGGGACAAGGGTACTTCCAGCAGGCAGATGAAGGAAACAGATCTCTGCATTTGAACAAAACAAAGCCCTCCTGTGGCCCCTGAAGGAGAAAAGCCAGAATGCTCTGGCTGTGGGGTAGGGAATATCACCTTTAAGCAGCAGGCCAAATCACCAGCTATAGCATGGGCCCTGCTCTTTCAAGTTACTGACACAAGTCCCATTCTCACCAGCTAAAGACTGGGCTGTGGGCCAAGGCATCACTTTGATTTAATAAAAGAAAAAATAAAAAATTTATTGGATATATCCTCTGGAATTGTAAAAAGTCATTGAATTATCACTGAATAAAGTTGGAGGGGATCTTTGGAGAACTCACATTCTTCACAAAGACCCCCAAGCCTTTCTCTGCAAAACTGCTTTCTAGACAGATAGCCCCAGCTTGTACTGCTACAAGAGGTTATTCTATCCCACATACCAGACTTTGCATTTCTTTTGATGAACTTCGTAAGTTTCTTGCCAGTCCATTTCTCCAGCTCTCTGAATAGCAGCTCTGCCCCCAAATGCATCTCTGTCAAATCTGGTATCAGCTGCAACCTTTCTGGCGGTGCACCCTCTCCCCGGCCATGTCACTGCGCGGTACTGGCCCATTGACCCTGTCAGGGACCAGCTGTATCCATCTGCCATTTGGATTTGGACTGTTGATCACAACTCTTTGAGCCCGGCAACCCAAACAGCCGTAACCTACCTTAAAGCACACAAGCCCTATCTCAGCAATGTGGCTGCAAGGAGACTGTGAGGCACTATGCCAAAAGCCCCACAAAAGTTAAGGTAAATGATATGCACTGTTCTCTCCCTGTCCACAGACTGGTCAGGAATGGTTTGTGGTAAATCCATGCTAGCTGTTCATAACCACCTTCTTAAGTGGACAATGTACCTACACACTTCCACTATCTTAAAAAAACTTGGCACCCACTCCTCTTCCAAGAAAGACTTTCTAGTATCTAACAATTTATCAGTCTGTCAGATTACTTGACACAGATGACCATGAAAAGGATGAATTTAAGAATAAAATAGAAATGGAACTATGTATCATAGGTTTATTAGGGAAAAAGTTATATATAAGACCATGTATTTGGCACTGTACTGAAGAAAAAGTACTTGAGAACAATTAAAATGTTCAAACCCATATCACTGTGAATAATAAAAGGCTTTTTTAGTAATTTTGGTTCCTTTTCTCCCCATATAATTTACAATAACTTGATTACAGGAAGCAAATCTAAAGATCTGAGCCCTATACTGCACATAAACTACAGCGAGAGTGGTCAGTGGACCAGGGATCGGACCATCCCCTGGGAATGCTGCTCTTTTCCCAAGCAGAACGCCGGAATCTCGTTAACATGAGCAAAGGCTGCAAGGGGAAGACAACAAGGACATGGCAAGACCATGGTAGTTAAAAGAGTAAATGCTAAATCGCCCAAGAGGAAGAGTAAAATCCTGCATCATTGCAAGCATCCCAATGTCTGATGAAGACCATCATAATGCCTTTCAGTCAAGCCAGCTTTTGCTTTCTGATCTGAATGGAACAGGTTTCTATAGTATCCAGGAGAAAGTGTACACCAATTCGTCCCTGGGGTGGATCAAAGTCAAAGGAGTTTCCTGCTAGTTGGATTGGTCACTTGAACTTCTTTATGGGGTGAAAATAAGTTAAACCCAGTTTCCAACTGGCAAGTTGTTTGTCCCATGCCTTTGCACAGTGAAGTGAAAGATACCGAAAAGGAAATATTAACACACCAGTAAGATGTGAGTGGATCAAGTAACAGTTGCACTAAAGATTTTAAACTGTAAAGGATAGAAAGCTTAGCTGATCCTGATAAACTGCTGGATAAGTGTTTTTGGCACACTGGCAAGGGTAGAGGAATGGACTTCCACTGAACACCCAGTCCAAAGGCTGACGAGGAAGCTCGACACATGTCTTTGGTGAATAAATCAAATGTTAGTTCAACAGCACTCACAAGAATCACAGAATCACAGCTGTGATACAGCTCTTTCCACGGATAATATATTGTGCATAGTAATATCTCAAAGAAATAACAGCACCTTTTACATAAAAATTCCAAACATATTTATCTAGTGAACAAGAAAATCTCAGCATCTCTAAGCAGTACTTCTGCAGATGTACAGTACTGTATTTATATAGATATATATATATATAAAAGTGAATTTACATCGTGACTTGGTGCTTAGTCCAGCAGTGGGCGAACCCAGAGAGCAAGTCTTCAGGAGGATACATGGCCTTTGGTGGGTGGCACGGCTGCAGAGTGGGCCCGCAGCACCGCGCTCGGCAGCTGGGCCAGAGCTGAGCATTCCTTTAAGCAAGCACAGCATGCTTAGGTCATTCCCGCGGGATACAAGACACTTCCACATTTGCATGACTAATACAGTTCTAGTTTTCACAGGTTGCACACGTTGCAACCCCCTCTTGGTGCCGTAAAGACCTGGAGAAGAAAGGTAGGGCACCATACTCAAATCCTGTCCACGCTCCCAAACAGAGAAATCGAGCAGCACCACAGGTTTTGGCTGATAAAGTGGGGCCATGTTTGGCTTGATGGGGGTTTCCTGAGCAGCTGGTCTTCACTGGTTTGCCTCATTTCTCTTTATTTCTTCCTTTTTCGAATCAGCTGCTCACAGTCCTCCAGTAGAAATCATCCGAAAAGCATGGCCAGTGCGTGCTGCCTGGGATGGGGAGCAGACTGCTACCATTTCCCGGGGATGGGGACGCCACACTCGTACCAGCCCACGTAGTAATAGGGCGTCATGTGCCCAATGCGCCCGAACGACACCGGCTCCTGGCGGTACTGCCGGTAATACCCTGCGGGGAGAAAAACACCCGTTTGCACCGAAAGACAAAGACAACGCAACCTGCAAAAGGGACAGGTGCCACGAGAGTCAATCCCGCAGCCAAAATAAAAGCTAGGAAGCAGTCTGCCAAGAAGCTTCATCAAAAAGAGATTAACTAGCCCTGGTATTTGTCCTAGATCTTTCTCGACTCACTCTGATTCTTTATATTTCTTCTACTTTTGACTGGTTTCAGCATTCAAAATCTCTTAACTATTGTATAATTCTGCGATCTGCCAAAGAGCTTCTGCATTTCGTGGTAAAAAGAGGTTGTATTTCAGCAGCATTTATGAAGCTTGCAAAATCAGTTTAAATTTATGGAGGACTCCAGGATAAAAAATACCATCATCATGACCTCTTATGAGCTCATATTATCTCATAAGAAGCAAGAAGTATCAATAATCAGCATATCACAAAACAAAAAGCTGGCATTTCTTGCAGCAAATATGAAGTTGTGCCCTCTTCTCCCCTTCTGATAGCCTTTCCCTTCATCCGTACAAAGAATGCAACTGCTTAAAGCATTAAGAAAGGCACAGCATTCTTTTCTGCATAGTTTATCCACTGGAACATCTGAAACATTGATGATCATGCCAATAATAAAATTTCCACATACTCTGTATCTCTGTCTCCTAGACCAAGTAATACACCACTAGATTAAATTCTTTTGAATAGAGAAATGCAATATTTCCCTGTGCTATATAAATGTCAGTTACTACTTCAGCTTCTTCCTGGTATGGCCACCATGAAAAGAGTATTAACAAATAACTTAGTATGAAAACCATTAAAGCTAAAGCCACCGGAATAATGTGAATCAAATGATTCATTGAAAAGAGTGGCTGATTTCCATGACCGAGTTCCTTCTGTAGAGCAAGCTGTCACTCTCTTGGCTATGCTAGTCTGGCAATTTACTCAGAGGAACATCTTCAAGAAGAGAATTTCACCAGGATGGAAATGATCTGTCAGGCCATATTATAAGGGCTGCAATCTGACCTTAATCACTAGACATTCTCCAATCCGTTTTGCACTGAATGAACTGGTCAGAGACCATTTGCAAAAGCCTTACTTGCATAGCTGTAGGTGGTCACTTGATTCAGTGAAGCAGACCTCATGACCGGCAGAAAGGTTTCATAGAATTATACCTTTTTTTACATTTTGTTATTGTAAGGTTTTATATGCCTCTCTCTCTTTTTCTTCCTGTCTTTATCTCAACACCCACAAGCCTCTGTAGCTTTGCAATCCATTAAGCCATGTACAAAACTATCTCACAGACCCACAGCCTACTGCCTCGGCAGGACTCCTCAGAGAGGCACCAGCAGCTGTGGACCAGGAACCAACCTCTGAGCCCCACTCCCATGCCCCCTAATTTGGACTGGGCAAAGAGCACCCGGCCAGCATCCCACTCCTGCGTTGCCATACCTCGGATGGTGGGCAGGGCGTCAATGTATGTCTGAGGTCCCGTTCTCCCATCCATGTGTGAATCCACGAACTGGCAGTGGTCCTCGCCCCTTCCCCAGCTGTCCCCGATGCTATAGAAGGTGTCTGAAGAGTGACATGGACAGATTATTTTACTCATCATTGCAGACAGTCTTATTTTAGTTTGGGATGCTCTTCTAGTGACAGGAAAGTAGACATGTGAGAAAGCAGCTAAGTATTACAGCGACAAACAGCAATATATCTATGAATAAGCAGTGGCTGAAAAGAGAGACCAAGGGGAATTCAGGAAAAGAGGAATGTTTTCTAGCTCAGTAAGGAATATTTCCCATTTTACAAGTCCATGGACAGAATCCATTGCAGCACAGATGTCAGGTGGAAGGAATTTCAACCACAACAGTCATCTCAATGTGTAATGAGAAAGTAAAAACAGCGCCATACGCCAATGCCATTAGTTTGACAGCAGTCCCAAGTGACAGCTCTAATAGATGGCGTGGGTTCTGCCGCCCTGACTGTTTATTACATATTCAAACACTGTCTTCAAATAATGCAAATGTCGTGCCGTAAAAATAACACACTAGCACTGTCTAATAATCTCAGTACTCTGCAACTGCAATATGGAAAGTTTTTGTCATTCTCTCTCAGGAAATACATCCCAATAAGAGCTAGTATTAACTCTTAGCAGTACTGGTCATCTGGGCAGGCGGGGCAATACCGTGTCCCTCTCCTCTGCTCTCCACTGTGATCGGCCCTGGGGATCTCCAGGGCCCACAGCTCTACCCCACCACATGCCACCCTGGCCCATGTGCCTACAGGGCGAGCGTTAGACTTCACAGGGAGATGTGTAGGGAGCACAACTTTGCTTTCACAGTACAGAGCCCTGTGCTTTCTTAGTATATAAATGCACACTTTTTCAAGTTTTCAAGTGAAATTTTCAACAGTTTCCTGCTTAGAGAGCTCTGCCCAAAAGCTAATGCCAAGGGATAAGCACAAGGCCATGGGTGGAAAAGCAGGGCAGCCAGGCTGTCACTACTAACCTTCTCAAGGGAAAAACTCCAAAACTATTACATGATTCTTTCATAGATTCAGAGAGAAGTGAAGAAAGGGAGGAAATGGACATGACATCAACTAATCACACTTCAGAAAAATAATCTTGCTGCCTACCTTTCAGGTCATCACTGAGGTAAATCTTGTACCGTAGTGAGTTGCAAAGAACCACTCCTACAAATTTGCGGTACCAAGTTCGTTTCACATACTGCTTGCCACTGCAGTCCGAATAGGTGGGGTCATATTTAAAAGTGAATGGGATCCAGATGGGTTCACCACCTTGAAGAAAGAAATTAGTATTATGGACAGGTGTAGGCATTTTAGTCTGAGTTTTCTCCAGATTAACATTTCATACTGTGTTTTAAAACAAATGTTGCAGCAGATGCATGTCCTTTCTATAAACAGAAATCAAAATTAAAGAACAAATATTTTAAAAAAAGAAGATTTAGGCGAGAAACTTGATTAAATTCCTTCTAGGCAGTAGTCAATAATAACTGTTAAAATGGTAAAAAAAAATGACTGCATATGCTATGCATATGCTTAAAACTATAGTTTTAAGTAAACAGTCTCACTGTTTTAGCAAGACATGTGCTGTTCTCAATGACAAGGAGGACAATGACAATGACAATGACAAAAACAATATGAGACATGTGCTGTTCTCAATGACAAGGATATATTTTTTTCTTTTTAAACAGAGCCTGACCTTAGGTCAGACAATGACAGTATCTGAATATGCACTTGTATTTTAACACTAAGTATAAAATTTAATCTTTTTGCTAAAGAACAGGTGTTAAAAATTCTGCAGGGAGTAACAGTCTACGAAATAAAGTCCACTCTTGCAATCTGGTTAAAAATATGCAATGAGAAATCCACTTTTCTCTTTTGTTTTCTCACATTACATCAAAACAGATTAGGTTACAGCCAAAGACGATACAGATCTTTTCTGAGGACCTCTATCCAGAACACTATTGCAGAGACAACTTTTAAATTATATTGCAAAACATTCAGGGCTCTAATTGGCTTGCCAAAATGTTTGCTTAATACTAAGCAAGGGTATATAAGTTCTTCTGAAATGGCTCTTGTATTAATGTATACAGACCGATACAAAAAGATCTCACTGTGAAAACTGGCTAGCTACTTTCTAGCTACTGCCCAGAGCCTTGTTTTCACTGGGCTATTTTGAGGTAGTTTACAACTGAGAAGAACCTTTTCAAAGTGTAACTTTGGTTTTTGTTAAGAATTCTTCCTCCTCACTAAGCACATGGATCAAATCTTACAACTGCTTGCACGTGAGAAGCATATCAGTAATCCTCAAAACACCACAGGAAGGGACACAAATATAACTGGATTGACTTTAGGAAATTAGTCACATAGCCAAAGGATTCTGTGATTTTGGCCATAGATTTGTCTTCAGAATAAAGTCATTATCTATTTCTAGAAGGCAGTATTATTGTTATCAATAGCCTGCTTTTGTTCATCACTTTTGACCCACTCCAACAATCCTGATGAATACATCTAGTATCTCCTGTAAGAGCTGAGCTGAATTCTCAGATGCTCTTCATTTCCAGAGATTCCCAGAGCTCTGGTACCTCTTACCTCTACCATTACAACTACATATTTCCTCTTTGTCCAGCTGAAGCAGAAACTAAAAATACAATGACCATCACCTGCCAAGACCTCCTTTGCATGAGCAGACCCCTAAATAACTGACTGTAAATAACCTGAAGCTGGCCAAGGACACAGCTTCTGCTCTCTGGGGCCTCCCATAGTGAGTGTCAGACTTATGGGGATCTGTGCATTATGAGAGACATCTGCGAGGACACTGGAATAAGCTAACATACATAACAGGAAATAGGAGGGAGGGAGACAGTGGACATTGTTTTCACAAATGATGTAGTTGTTCCTGAACTAATTAGCCAAACTAGTTAGGGAAGTTGACAGGGAGTAATAACCATCACGCCTTCTCTCCCGCTTCCCTGCAGGAAAGTATGGATTGCCTAAGGTCACAGTACCAACGTTCTGGTCAGCAAGGTTGTTCCTAGCACCAGGAAAGGAGCTCTCCTGGTGGGCTGAATGCACCATAGAAACAAGCAGGAGGTAAAGTTAGCCTGGAAATGCAAAGCAAGCTCAATAGCTTCACAGCATATCCCTCTCATTCAGCTTGATTACAAATCCTGGAACCTTTTCTTTTTTCATTATTTATTTATAGGAGTGTTATGATCAATATAAATGAGCGTAACAGCTAGAGAAGGACTGATTACACTGTTCAGTCTGTGCTCAGGCAATTAAGGGACATGGATTCAGAAGCAATACAGTCTGGTGCTTATATTGCTGATCAATAAAAGCTGTTGTACCAGGCATAAGACTTGCCAAAATCGATAAACTTATGTATCTGCACAAGATTTCTTTTCAAAGATCAGAAAAAGGTGTTCTGAAATAGAAAATGCTTTGTGAATTAGCACAAAAAAAAATCTATTCCTGCTTAAACCTCTAGCTGAAGCTCTCTGTTAACATGTTTCTAACATCAGTGTTGTTGCTTTGCACGTTTAATGGACTTTATGAAAAAAAAATCCAGAATCAGACTTACCAGGTGGTCTAACAATGAGGAGGGGATTGTCTAGAACGAAACAAATACAAAAGAAATATTTTAGTATTTTGTCCCAAACCTCATTCTATAATGGCAAATATATAGCATCACTCACAAAAATGTCAGCAAGCTCTGAAACCGATCACCTCCTTTCAGAGGTTCCTCAAATCAGACAGAAAAGTTCACTTCAGGGCCCTGCATATGCAGCTTAAGCAACACCTGCAGGCCTAATTTTCAGAGGGAAATGTAACCTACATTTTGTATGCAAATCTCAGACATCCCTTTTTAGTATAATTGTGTAGCACTATTTATGAACGTGTAAAATCTATCATTTTAACTCCTTTTATCCCAGTGGTAGAATTTCAGTAAGAGCCACCCAGAGAGCTTAGGGACTGCTGTCCAGTATGTAAATAGCTTCTGCTCAACTTATATGCTCTCTGTTTGAAAGAAAGAATAAAAGAATAAATGTGGAATAAGGTTAACTCAACTGTCTCTAATGCATAAACACCTTTGTATGCATTACACTGCATCTTGTGACTGGCCCTACTGAACATAAGATGCCCAAAGAAAAAGCACTGTGCTTATTTACTCTTTGGAAAGAAAGATTCCAGGGCGCCTTTACTGTTTGATGAAATAGAGCAAAGGCTTTCTTTTCCCTTCTGTGTATTACTGAGTGTAAGAGTTAACATTTTCAATAAACTTAATCCCATGATCACAAGCTGCTTTCAAAAAACTCTGGGCAATAGCTAAAACACTGGCAAATATTTCTGCCAGCACAAGGACTGTGCTAGGAATGAGCAGAAAAACAGAGCGTTGCTCATCAGTTCAAACCTTTCAACTCCACTAGAAGAGCACTCTGACTAGTCATCTCTCTCTCTCCTGATTTATTCCATCGCTGTAGCTGCACCACTTGCTTTTAGATTTAGCAACTGCTTTTGTACTTGTGCCAGTTGGAAAGATACCTTCTCTTGCCACATGACAAATGAAAGATCAGAACTGCAAATAAAACTGTAAATTTGATGGATTTAACCTGCTAAATAAAGTTCACAAGGTGGCTGATTTGAAATGGAATAACAGATTTGATACATACGTAAGCTTGTATTATTTCTTCAAAGCATTGTGAATATGTTACCTAGGACCATTTACTTATCTTGCATCTTTGTCTCTTTTCTGTGAAGACTCACTTCTGTAGGTTTTAAAGGGTCTTCTGAAGCGAGCAAAATAAACAGGATGAAACAAAAGGGGCATGACAGGGACAGAATCCACCAGTACTGCCAGAAGGGCAAAATTTGTAGTCCTGGAGGACCATGAATGTTTTGCTCAAGTAAAGATCGAAGAATTTATCCCTTGTTATTCAAGAGGGTCATGGGCTTTTGGCTCAGTGGAAAAAAATGAAACGGATAAAAAAAAAAAAAAAAAAGCTCATTTAACATACTATTTTTAGTACGGGCTGGTGCTTTTAAACACTGTGAAAGAAGTCAAAAAAGGAAAGGAGAACTTTGCCCGTCTGATGGAACAATTGTTTCCTGTATTTCTTCCAGGGACAACTGCTTCCAACTGTTCAGCTGCTCACAATTAGGGAGTTAATTTATTAAATGTCTGGTCAATCTATCACTTCCCATTGCTTCTATATTTTTGAACATTAATAGTAATTTAAATTGCATTTTAGATTTTACTTCTTGTTCCCCTGATGATCACCTTAATATCACTTGCATTTTCATAGTGGTATTAGGAAAGCATATTATTTTCCTAGCTTTATTGCAAACAGATGATTAGCCTAAAAATAATCTCAAAGCAGCAAATTTGGGATGTTTATCATTATTACCATGCTGGTTTCAATTTCTGACCTGCCTCATCCATTACTAGGAAGTCATCTTTGAGATGAAAATAGAAAGCAAAGCATACCAGATTCAGTGATAAATGAGACTGAAGAGCTAACAGGTCCATAACCAAAGGGATTCTTTGCTTGGACTTTAAAATAATAACTGAAACAAAAAGAGAAGGAAAATAAGATTAAAACATCTATTCCACAGCAATGGCTAGATTATAAAATATAAATAAAATGCACTATAAAAATAGGGTGAGAATTAAACCAGCTGAGTTCAGGAGCCCATTGCAATAAATGCAGTTAGATAATCAGCCAGGGACAGCTGTTACAGAAAGATATCTCTTCTTTTTTTTTTTTTTAACCCCACTTCCAACAAACATGCACAATTATATTCACTTTTGGTTGAAACAACTAAAAATAGTAGAATAAAAGAAAAAATTGCAAGGAAACAAATTAATCTCAGGGATGGCAGTTTAAAACTAGAGTAACTCCCATGAAATCAGTGGCATAAACTGCAATGTAGAGCTGGGTCAGATTACTCTGAGATCAGAAAGAATCAAACCTTTGACCTTAAATTATAAACTCTAGAAGCATTAAGATCACAAATTTTCTGAATGACATGAAAAAGCTTCATATGTTGACTTGCTGATTATTTGGGCCATGAATCTCCACAGTATTGATATCACATGCTTAACCCAAAGTGCAGGAGTAGCCACTAGAAAACCACCCTCTGCTTGGCAGAAGCAAGATTATTCTGACACTTGGTGATCTTAAGCACACTTTTATTTCATTTCTACACACGGTGGGTTTTTTCAGTTGGTGCCTACCCTGACCTTTTTTTTTCCAGATTAATGTTTTCTTTGCTTCCGTTTTATTTTTTCCAGACCAACAGAAACCAACTAGAATTGAAGACCACTGTAAAAAATTCAAGTACAGCATTTTTGTAAGTGTCAGTATTGAAGGTTTGCTTGCTCAAATTCATTCTTGTAAAGAAATTAAGAGAAAATAGGTATGACCACGCATCTCTAACAGCCCCACAGCGCTCGGGGCTCGCCCTGCCCGCTCAGCCCCAAGCAGGGGTCTCCAGAGGCCCGACACCCACGCAGGCCGCGCGCGACACGCGGCGCGCGCTCGGGCAAGAAGGGCCCTAAGCGCCTGCGTTGCCTCCCGCGGTAATTTCCCTTCCGGGTCACACGGCTGATGCTCCTCAGCTTGGGAAACCAGGCGAGGTTGCAGGCCGTGGTTAAATCCAGATGGAAAGGGGCTTAGCTTATGAGGAATACCGACTGCAGCATGCAAGGGCCGCAAAGGGAACCCGAGTGGGACCTTGGGGCTCTCCGTCAGCCAGCTGTCTTCAACCAGTAGAGCTGGTCTTTGCTCCCTGACATCCCCACCTCCTCTTGGGCTCCTCAAACTGACTCCTGAGAATAGCTCAACACTGATGAAACTAATCACACTGATAAACTGGAAGAGAACTAGCCTGCTTTTGCTTTTTCATTAAAAGGAATGCCATTTTTTTATGCAAGATCAACTGGCTTGTCACAGAATGAAACCAATTCCTATGAAAACACTGAAGAGATGTTAAAATAGCTTCTGCTTCTTCAGCAGAAGGATAGCAGCCATGCAAACACAGTTTTGCTGGGAAACAGGTGGGAATGCCAGAGCTCCTCCTTGCTCCCTTCCTAAGCCCCATGGGCTGGTGCAGTCAGGGAGTTCAGCGCAGAGGCTGCGGGAACAGGAATGTCCTGAGCCACCAATGGCTGAAGCATCACCTCTCCTTGGTGCCAGCCCTGCAGCCCCCACATGGTCAGAGCCTCTGCAAGGACCCACTCCCGACCCCACGCAGTGACGAGGTCCCCTGCACCCCTGCTGCATCCCACAGCTCACGCTGTGCCTTGGGCACTTCACTCTCCCAAAGAGCACAGCTGCCAGGGGGCTGCTTTAATTCGCTGGCTGCCCTTGCCCTCAAAGGACACCTGGGCCCGTGGTGTGGCAGGCTCCATCCACACCTGCCTCACACGGCTGCACCTTTTCCACTTGGCTCCGGGCAGGGAAGTACATGAGGCCAAACCCAGGGACACGGCTGCTATTCCTCACACTGGCTCCTGAAAGGGCCACAGGGCAGCCTAACACCTCACTGACCTAGCCCAGCATGTGGTTTAGCTTGAGCAAAAGTGCAGGAGAGAAAGCTCTCCTGCCTAGATTTTTTTTTTGTAATGATTCAATGATGATGACAACTGTATGAATCGCTGGCTTTTTGATGCTTCCCAACAGGTAGCACTGATAATTAGATAGTATCTTTGCAACACAGTAACATCTTGTGTATGAAACTTCCAGTGTCCTTCATATGCCTATGTTAATAGTAGCTTCAAAACATTCCCAAGAGATACAGGAGGCACATGGTTCACATTTAATACAGGAGAAAGCAGCTGGAGATGAACACTTCCATGCTCGAAATTCATCTACTTAAGTGGGGAAAAAGCATGCAGTTGCATATCTAATATATCATGCAGTAGCTGGTTGCCTAAGCAAAGAGGGCAACTGTGTATTCAGGTGCCCACGTACATAAACGGCCATCTGGGACATGATCGTTCAACCTGTGAGACTGACTGTTGGGAAAAAAAAGTGATGAAATCATGAGGATTTTTCTTCACTACATGAGGGAAATTAGTTCCTAAGCCTTTTTATACACAAGAAGCCTGTAGCAGTGTCAGAAAGAGAGCCAGGTTTCATGATGTGCTGATTGGTGATTTAACCATAGAGCATGCTATGACTGCGGTATTAAGAATGCCGATAAAACATTGCAGTCAGGCTACATTTCTTCTTCAGACATGACAAATAAAAAACAAACTGCCAAATCCTTCCCAGATCCAGGCATTTGAGAGTTTCATTAGTCAGAATCTTTGTTTATTTGCCTTACGGCTGCTGATTTTGCCAGGAAATATAAAATCAGTGTAACTTAGCTGTTCTTCATGACTCAATAAAGAAATACATGAAAGAATAAAATTTGTAATGTAGTAATTGGCTGTGCTTTGATAGCAGTTTGCTTAACCAGAATTGTAATGAATAGAAGTATAAGTAATGACCTATAAGCATACAAAAAATCACAACCGCAGCAAATGCAATACCATGCACATTGGTTACTTTTGCATTTACCACACATTTGGTTACTTTACTTGGTTTACATGCAAAAGAAGCTATTCTTCCTAAAAATAAAGCTCCTTTGAGATCCTATATGCTACTTCTACTGACATGTCAAGAAAGGACATAATAAACTGTAACATAAAAATGAGTAAGTACTATTTTTATTCATTTACACTGTGACTAATCATATCACCATACCTGCCACTTAGAGCAAAACGAAAGATTTTTATGACCTAATTCCAAGCATCTTTCTTCTGTTGGAAATAAGTAGTTTGCACTCATAGCTATAAAGTGAGATAATCACTCAGCACACTAATAACAGAAGCAGCTGTTTTCAAGCAGCGTGCTAGCCACAAATCATTTTCCCAGCCGCTCGGGATGCATGCTTCCATAAGGACTTTCCCATACTTTCTCCAGGGCGCGCTGAGGAGGCGGGATGCCGGCCAGCTGTGGCGTGAAAGGCGCACAGCTGCACAGAGGCAGCAGCCCCACCAGCAGCGTCCCCACCAGCGCGTGCAGAACACAGCAAGGGCTGTGGAAACCCTTCCAGACTCAGATCCTACCAACGCAAAGTATCCTTCTCCACCAAAGCTAAGCTACCACTAGATGTATCACAAAGCTTTAAAAGTAAATATAAGAGCAGGCACCAGAGCTGTGCTGAAGAGGAGATTCCTACAGAGCTGTTGTGAGGCAGTTGTGGGCCTACACATGTGACAAGGCTTCACTCCCCAAACCAACATCTCACCTGTTTTGTGCTGTTCTGGTGGCACAAAGCAACCAGTTGTGGATTTGGATGCTTGTTGGACATTAAAGCTACTTTGCTTTAATGGGGATATAGAAAGGAAAGAAGAATTCTCACTACATCTGGCCCCCAGAGCCAGGAGATCAAGCCACTGTTTGTAATTGTGAGCCCTGAGTGGATGTTTGAGAACCTCCTGTGAAGGACCCCAAACAAGGCTGGAATTAGTAGCAGGCAATCCAGGATCAAAACAGCCCCGAAGGGAATGCAAATCAAGTGCAAAAGGAAGAAGGTTTGATGAGACATGGAGATAGGGCAGTAAGGGGTAAGTGTTTTAAATCAGGAAACTACCTAATCACTCCCGTGAGGCATTGCCACAGCTTTCCTGCAGAAAAGCTGGAAAAGATCCAACCACTTTCAAGAGGGCGTTTGAAATGTCAAAGATGCTGTTTTTAAGATTTAATAAAGTTTTTGGAAATTCAGGTCTTACATTCACTTGTCCCAAGGAAGCAGCTCCTATGCCACTAAAGCCAACCAGAGCTTAGCTAACAGACAAGCTTCCACTATGCAGATGGAGGCGAAACCAAGCCTGAAAAGAAATCTTACCTTAGATTTAGATTTTTGTTTTGTTCTGTTCTGTAAAAGCTAAATACTAGGTAGACGAAAGCTCAGGATGTGCAGAATTTGAACTGTAATTTTGTGTAATGCTCTCCTCAAAGTGTTTTCCAAGATATGGTGACAGCTTCAAATCTTCTGGAGCTGATTTCTGCTGAGATGCTAACCATTTTCTGACAGGGCTTGCACACCACAGATTGAACCACCAATAACCCCTCATATAGAATGGGCAGAATCAATATCATCTGTGTACAGTAAATCTGACTTAATCAGAGATTTCTCACAAAATGCCTTCATGATGCAAACACATAATTTTTAGACTAACTGTAGACTCCAGGCCATATTTTCCTAATTAGTCATGGGGCTCTTTACTAGTGGTTAGGGAGTTATTTTTAAGATGAAAAATATGCAATCAATTCCGTCTGTGGATTTGGAGAATGAAAATGAGATCGGCTGATAAACACAATTTTCCTGCAGCCCTCCTATTCTACCACAGACCCCACATGAAGCTTTATTTCTTCCACCGAGGGCATAATAGAGGCCAATGTATTACACCACTCTTCAGAAAGATGCTAGGGAAATAATACGCTTAAATAGTGTTTGAACTTCCCTACTTTGAAACTTGAAAATTGGCAGGGGAGTCATAAAGTCCCTGCATAAGCCTTTTGCTGCTCCTATAAAAAATCCATTCAAATTCAGCCAAATTGTGAACTTCTGAAACTTGGAGCTCTCGCACATCTCGGCAGATGTAGGGCAAGCTGGCAGCTCCCTTCCCCACTGCTTCCCTCTGCAGTCAGTCCTTGAGATGCTGGGCACGGGGAAGCAGGAGCTATAGCAGGCATTCCACCTTGTCCATAGGGATCACAGGAGAAGGACGCTTCACTGTGAGGGGGTGAGGAGCTGGGTCTGGAGGGTGGAAGTGGCAGAGAAGTAAGTGATGGAGAAGCACGGGCAGGGCAACCTTGGGTGTATTGGTGATGCCTCATGGTCTCACCATGGCCTCATGAGCTGTGAGCAGTGGGGGAATGGAGGGGAAGCTACAGAAAACTGAGGAGGAGAAAAATGGCTGGGGATGTAAGGGAGACTGGGATGCAGAGGTAGGAGGAGGAACTGAGAGGCAAAAGGAGAGAGGCTTAGAGAAAGGATAGAGAAAGGAAACAGGAGAGCATTAGGCTACCAGCCACATCACAGCAGCCAAGAAGCCTGCTTGGCTCTGGCTTTAGCACAGACTCGTATCATTAAGGTGAAAGGGACCTCTGGGCATCTGTAGTCCAGCCTCCTCCTCAAAGCAGGGCTAACCGAAATTAGGCTGCTCAGGACACAATCCAGTCCAGTTGTGAATACCTCTAAGGGTGGAGAGTCCACAGCCTCTGTGGCAACCTGCTCTATTCTGGTGCTGAACCACCTTCTCTTGTCCCCAAGCTGAGTAGTAAACTTCCAAAACAACGGCAGCACGCAATGCTGCTGTATCTTCACCTGCAGTTCAGACAGACTCTTACTGCTTGAACTTAAGGAACTGCTTTCAGCACCTTCCTACAACAGCCAACAAGGACATGACAAAATGTTTTTCATCTCATTTTGCAAACATTTCCTGGTCAGCAGCAGACTATTGGTGATGAGGAGCCTTGCATCCTACTGCTGTCTCTGGGAACAGTATGTCATCTACAGTTATTTCAAAACTGACAATAATTGAGTAAAACCACCACAAAAAGCACTGTAATATGATCAGAAAAAAAAAGTGTCAGGTCATATTTGAGAACTAACAACTGCACTACATTAACTTGTCATGAGCTTTGGTTAATTTATTAAGATTTTAGTTTAAGAACATGCTGAAATAGATCTATGTTTTCTAGGTTGAGGTTTATGATTTTAGCAATTAAACAGATTTCTTAACTATATGAGAATTTATACAGCTGTTCATACAAGTAAGACCTGCACTCTTGAGGAACTGCTTTTAATCCAGTCTTGTCCTTTTCTATGAATCACTTTGAAAAGAACATTTAGTTGAGACTATTTCTCTCTCTTCTGCCTAGCTCTGAACTTGTGCACCTGCTCTAGGATCAGATGCTCATTCCAGGGTACAGTCCCACAGTACTCCTACATTCCTAAAAGCACCAGCAACACGTGCTCCTGGTCTACAGCAGATGCTAGTCACTAGCTTATGAAGGTCACCAGTATATGAAAAGGAATCACCTAGTCCAAGACAGAAGCACCAAGAGTGTTTCAGACTTGGATAGAAAAATACAAAGAGACACCAAGTAGCTGCCAAAAGAAGTGGTTTTAAAGTATCTCCTGTATGCCCAATCACTTTGCACTGAACCACCATGAATTATTCCAATATCACACAACATGTGTATTCCTGATTTGCCCTTTCTGTGAGATTTTTGCAAGCTAAAGATCTAAAGCTACTGCCAAGCTAAGTTTGGGCAATTGTCACTGCCTTATCATATACCTCCAAGCCTTCTCCTCCAGTAGAGCTAATGTGAGCTGACAGCAAAAACAAATCATAGAGTAGAGCCCACAGGTGATTAAATCCTGGCTATGCAAGGATGTAGGAATGGTCGCATTATGTCACACCAAAGGTCTCCTCTTTCGATATCGTCTCCAGCAGTGGCCACTGGCATATGCTCAGGAAGAGAATGGGAACATACAAACACAGAGTTGTACCCTCCAGCATCCCCTCCTCACTTCCAGCAGTCTTTCCTAGGTAATCTCTATCATCTCAAGAAAGTACCTCACAAAATAAAGTGTTTTAATACTTTGAAATACTGATAAGATTTTTGATTTTTTTTTTCAAAAAATCAAATTGATTTCAAAAAATCATTTTTTCTATTACTGATATGTATTTTTATATACACAAATAAATATAAATGTCACAGAGTCATCTAATTAGCAACAATGCGATAAACGTATCATATAATTGAAGTATCCATTTGCTGTCAAACAGAATTAGTAAAATCTAGATCAGATGGAGGCATTTATATCAAGGCCAAGAAAAATAATCAGTAATCAGCAAGATTTGTTTTACTTTCCTAACAGAACTGAAAAACAAGGGATCAAAAGCTTACCGTGTATTTGGCTTCAGGTTCTCAATTGGCAGATGAGTACTCCCTGCAGTCCTGGTTGACCACTTATTCTTCAAAAAGTCATCATAAGATGCACTATAAACCAGATAGCCTGTAAATGAGGAATATAAATACTTGTGAAGATTCTAAATTTAAATTGGTGATAGCCTAGATCTTAGGTGATGAAGATTTTATTGGTTAAAAGGAATGAAAGTCGTATGTTAGGAATCCAAATGTCAGGCATGTTAGGCATCCAGAATTTTGAAACTTCTATATTGGCATGAGTTGATCTTTCTGGCCCATGTCTACTCCTCACAGATGACAGAGAGCCCTTTCTTTCTCCTCAGGATCTCGTTTACAACTTTACAACTTTTATGAGAGGTTAACTCAATTTAAGGCAAAGATCTTCATTTGACCAAACTTCCTTTTCTTTCACTCCCCAAACTCACTCAGGAAAACAGCCCCACATCCCCAGGCGCTGAGGCCACCAAAGCTGCCATTCCTGCAATACCTGTCACCATGTCTCCTTGAGCAGGTTTGGCCCAGTCCACAATGACAAAGGAATGGCAGCCTTCTACTGCCACAACAGTGATGTTGTGAGGGGCCTTCAGAGGACGTAGCTCTCTCTCTTTAAGGTCATTAGGAATGATTTCATCAAGGCTTTCCACTTGGAAGTGCTCTAGAGCCTCTGTCAAGGAGCAGGGAGCTGCTGGGTCTTTGTTTAGATAGGTCACGTAAGGGGCTGGAAGAGATAAGGAAGGGTGACATTCAATTAGCAGTTTGTAGATACCAGCTGAGAAGCACACTGACAGACTATTTCCTGAAAAAAAGAGCATGAGGTTTTGTGATGCTTTTTAAAATTCCTTCTCCTGCAGCCTGTTGAAACTACTGCATGAAGACAAAACACTTATTTTATTCTTAACAATAAAAATTAGACTTTCATTTCCTGAAATTCCAGCATGTACATCTACAATTTCCATGAAGATTTTGTTTTTCATTTTCTGATGCTGTGTAGAGTCTTTATGGAGTGTTCCTACAAGTTCACCTATTGATAGCACCAAGCAGTCCATCAAATGACACAGTCAATATGACTCCCTCTATTCAGAGCAAGAGCCAGGCACCACTGCAGCTTGGGAAGACACCATTGGATTATTTGTGCACAGTTGCTCTATAGTGACTGCTTCCAGCTGAGATTTGGCAGGCAAAGACCAACATAAAGTCCTATGTGTGCTTTCTTTCCTTCTCTTGTGCCACTCTAACCAGACTTTTATACTTCGCCAAAACAATTTAGAAAGTAATAAAAAAAAAAAAAAAAGATGTGGCGTTCTCCAAGTAAGCAAGCAGTGTTCAAATCCCAGCAGCTGATTGTGGCGGTGCCAATTCTTGGAAAATGAGAGGGTTCAGAGGTCTGCTTAAGAGAGCATGGAAACCATTCACTGATCTCTGCAAGCAAAAACCACTGATGTATGGCTCACACTCAGCTTGGCTGATGAGTCAGGAGAGGTGGGATGGCAATATTCAGACCTACCCCACAGTCACGAGTGTCACAGTTACATAAAGTCAGAACGACGAGCTTTGCAAGAGGCAGAAGAGGGTAGTCTGATTGCAGGGCCTTCCACAGACCGCTGTCCACTTTTCTGGATGGCTGGGAGAACATCACCTTCCTCAGCCTTTCACATGTGAAAACAGCTCCCTGCCAGGGCCTTAGACCAAGGTCTAAGACCTCAGCCAGGTCTTAGTGGTTGGTCCTTAAATAAATCACACCAAAGCTTGGGGGAGACAGGAGGGAACAAGAAGAGTAATTCCAAGGTGAAGCCTCACTAGTTAACAGACTGATGTGGTTCCCTGCATATTAACGGGCTGGGAGTCGTGATGTGAGAAGTCTCTACCTTCCAGGCCTTTTCTCCCAACATGTAACTTCGATTTCTAGAAGCCTTATACTGACCAGAACTGCACTTTGGTTCACAAAAAGACTAAACTTTTAATTGCCTTAAATGTCACTATAGTGTTCAAAGTAAGGACTATAAAGCTTGTTTTTGGAAATGTTTATTCAAAAACAATAATATATTCTGCTGAGATTATAGTATTTTTTACCTACTGCCTTGAAGTATTCATAAGCCAACATTTCTTGGTTTATCGTATTGGATTTTGTGCCCTAAAGGGAGATTTTTTGGATCTGGCAATAAAGTTAATTTTAGCCCTTCTGTCTAAAAGAGTCAAGGACTGTCACTGATAGAGCTGAAAAGCAACGTGATGAAACTGTCTGGACAAGGGGAACCTGAAGATGCATGGAGAAAAGGCATATATAAAAACAAATCTTTATGAGCAGACCATCACTTTGAGCCACATGAAGCTTGTGGATGTTAGAAATGAAGGCAAGACATGAAGTTGTCAAGAGTCAAAGTTGACCTCAAGCCATTCTTCTGTAATTGAACTCATGTCCACAACCCTGGTTGGGCCAGCAGCTGACCTAATCCTCAGTTGAAGAGCCAGAGGTTTGTAATAGGCTCCCAGAGGGCTACCAATTCAGGGTGAAGACTGGATTCCACAGTCCTACCACCTCGAATCCCTTCAGTCTGGCCATGAGTTGCTCCTCTGCCATAGAAGCACAGCAGCTTTGAAGCAAGGGAACCTTGCCAACCTACACACTTCATCAGCTTCACAAATATAGGAACCAGCCTTTTGGGTCTTGGTGATATACTAGAAGTTCCTTCTAGAACTATGAACGAAAGCTACCAATAGCAAAGTGAAGTCTACATCTATCAGTTTTACTTTTTGGAAAGTTCACATCTAATATTTCATTAATTCTTTGACTTTCCCCAATGTCCTGCATGAAGTACATCAAGTTCTCCTTTGATCCTCATGCTCATGCAAGGTTGGTGAAAGTTGCCTGAGGCAGTAGAAAAGAAATTGGTTCTTCAGAGGAAGACTTTCATCTGTATGAAGACTCGCACTGACTGAACTACTGGTGTGAATTTAAACTGATGCACCAGAGGAGACACCTCTTACTGACTTTAGCTAAAGCAAACACAATGTTGCATTGTTTCAAAAAAATGGTGTAAGTCCACATATAGAGATGTAAATATCAAAGCTATGAACAAAGTCCTGCTGTTTGGGTTTTCCAGGAGGCAGCCCTTATAAGGACTACAGGCTATTTTGTTGGACATATTTGTGCAGTGGCCTCAGCTTAAGGTATGACCTTGCTAGAACATAAACTATTTGCAGTACAAATAATAAGCTACATTAAAAAAAAAGTATATCCTTACCAGTGAACCGTTTCTTCCCAGCAATATCATATTCTGACAGAGGGCTGGTACCAACAACACTAGTCTCTGGGTAGACAATTTCCGACTCTGTTGTTGTAGAAGTAGTGGTGGTAGTGACAGTGGTGGTGGTTGGGGGCAAAGTGCTCTCGAAAAACTCATAATCTTCAGAGGAAACATAAAATGAAAATGTTAGCTTGCTTCACATTATTTTGGCATGCCTCTGAGAATGGAAGTGTATGCACCACAAGCCACAGTCCCACAGGCTGACAGCTGGGGCAAATTTCTTATGGCCCTCTAGGGCAGTATCTACCACACTGCAGTCTTGCAAGAGTTTCTGAAAATGTGATGGAAAGCAAGAACAAAGTCTTTGCCTCGCAATACTAAGGTCATTGCTGATTTAGACCTCGCTCACACAGGTAGAGAACCATGGTAAATAAATGCACTTGTATGGCAATATTCCAAACTTGGTTCTACTACCACCTCCTGCTGCAACCCTCAAAGGAAGAGAGTACAGTAACTGAATCCCTGGCTGTGCTCCTAAAATGCTGAAAATTAAGGGAGTGAAAAAGATTACTTTTTTAAACAACCTGTGTGCTATTCTTCTGTAATCCTAAAACTGGTTCATACTGCTCCAGAATCCTCAAAATCCAGTCTTGTTCTTGCCATTAGCAGTCCCATTAGGTCCATAGGGAAGGTAAATCTCTGGGCAATTTTCCCTCAGTTTATGACAACTAAGTAGTAAGTAAGAAAAACCTATTGCAGTGCTAAGCCATTTGCTCTACTGCTCAGAGATCTTCAGCTGTTGGTCTAGGAGCCTAAGTAGTAAGTAAGAAAAACCTATTGCTAAGCCATTTGCTCTACTGCTCGGAGATCTTCAGCTGTTGGTCTAGGAGCTCACGAGCAAACAGATGAAGGTAACTGACACAGTGAAAGACCTAGTTCCATGCATCCACTTTCTCATGGTAAGGAACCCTATATGGAAACTGGTACTCAATCCCATTACATCTAATGTTCTTTTAAAAGCTACTGGGATAAACAACTGATGAACATAGAATGAAGGGCAAAGAACCATTTGGCATTGCTGTCCTATCCTCATAGAGGTTCTGGGGCTCTAGTCATCGCCCGGAGTTATTTCTCTTTAAACATCTGTTTTCTGCAGATGACAACTACCCCTCCAGGCAGATCTAGCAAAAGTCTTTTACATTAAGGATATTTCACTTCCAAGAAACAATTGTCTTGGGAATCCCCATTCTTCGCACAACATATGACTCTAGAAAGCTATTCCAGCTCACCATTGCCTCTTAAAGTTCTATTCATTAACTGGCCTTCTACAACCCAAGTTCAAATTAAAAAAAAATCCCACTTGCAAGAGACTTTCACGAGAGTCAAACAGTACCATCATCGTATACCACGTACGCCTCCGGAGTGGCTGTCGCATCTGAATCCAGTCCTGAGAATGTATCTCCTGAAGAAAAAGAAGAAAAAATTATAAGAATTCAGCTGCATTTTCTCCACCTTCCTAACAAATTACATCTTGAATAAAGTTTAAAATAGAAATCTTTAGCCAATTAATTTGTAAGGAAATAAGACAACTGCCAAGTTTCCAGATAACACAGTGACACTCCTCTTCATATTCACAACAGATGAGTAGCTAACCTCAATTAGTCAGGAGTTTTGCTGGAGGAAAACAGCTTCAGACCTGTAATGCACCCTTTGGGAAGTCTGCACTGGGCCACAGGATTCTTGGAGCAAAGGCAGTACTGTCAGCACCCCACGTAACACTCAGGTTGGAATTTCATAATGTTTCATAATCTCAGGAGCAGTTTACATGAGGAATTCATATGTACAAAATAGATCAAGCAGTTCATACAAACTGAAAATCTCTATTCAAATATTTTTTACATATAATAAAATACAAACAACCCAGACAGCAATGTGAGTTACTGACTTATGTTTATGCCTACAAGTGGTGCAGCTCAAAAGGAACAGACTTGTAAAATAATGCAGAGGTTTTACTTTTTACTGGCTCTCGTCTGATCCCACAGACTGAATGCCCATTGCAGGCTGGGGCACTTGCACATGATCCTGAAGCCCATCTCCTGATTTGGTTTCAGCCAGAACGAATCCAGTTCGTGTGCACTGAAAACCCTCCACCAGGCAAACGGACAGGACTGTGAGGTGCACATCAAAAGCACACTCCCCATCCACACCAAAAACCAATGCAGATGCACTCACAGACTTCCCAGATACCTATTCCTACGTATCATCTCGTCATCTCTGCAGGTCAGGCATCCAGCACCTGATACTCGGTGGCAAATTCCGGAAGCCTCCCTGGACATGATGAGAACAGCATTTCCCTTACGCTACTCAGGAAGCCAGAGAGCACACAAAGCTTGGACCAGCCTCAAAACACAATGGAAAGTGTTTTGTTGGAATCCACTGCAGGTGGAATCAGAAGTCTTCACTTAAACATTAGGGTTGGGGAGAGGCCAGTGTGCAAATAAAGGTAAGGGAAAGGCAAGACTGACCTTAAGATCAATCTTTAAAAAATGACAACCTATGTGTAGCTCTTTACATGAAAAGTAAAAAAAAAAAAAAAAAAAAAGTATTACTTGCATTAAGGCTCTACTCTAAATGTTACAAAATTTCAGTAACCCATTTCAAATAAACCACAAACATAATCTGAACCATACCTTTGCATTTTGTATTTTATATTTTTATTTAGAACTAACAATTAATGTACAAAGATTGTTTTATTATACTACAATGGTGTCTTTTAAAAACAACTTGAATAACACAGCACTGATATAAATGCCAAAACAAGCTATGACAGCAGAAGAAATTAGTTCATTCAGTCACTTTCATTTAGCAAAACTTTTTTTATTATTATTTTTCTGACAGCCTTCTGCAGAAAATCATCAGGAGATCATTTTAGGCTAGAAATCCACTTGACCTCTGTGAGGCTAGTGAGTGACCCAGCAGACTGTGTTTTGAATCCAGCAGATATCCTCACCACAGCTGGTTAGTCCAAACCAATGTCTGCAATACATACAGTTTTGCTTGGTTAGGTCAAAGTCCTTGCAGAGGCTCAGATGTGCAAAAAATCTGGAGGTCTTCATGGGCAGATTTCAATGTGCTCACACATATTAGCTTTTAAAATTTTTGTCTACGTATCAGTGTAAGTAATTTCTCTTGTCTATTGCTGTTTGGTCATAAACTTCTATTTCTCTTTCTCTGTTCCTATACATTAACTGAGGCATGATGATGATGATAAAGTGCTCCAAAAAAACCAAAATGCTTTATCATTATAATTGTCTCCCTTTATATCTGTTGGAATTCTCCAGCTTGTTTCAAGTCTTCTTGCTGTAGTTCTTCAGTTAGCACTGCCTGTATCGAATGTAACTAAGCCTTGGCAAGATTGTTTGCCATGGTCTCTTGACATCTGAAAGAGCGGCAGACTACACACTTCACATATGAGTAGAAAGTGTTTATGAATCCACCATTTTTCTCTGTGAATTCACTGAAAGTTTAGTTCTTTTCACTGATAAACCACACTTGTGTGGCTAAACTCCTTCCTGAAAGTTAAATACTGCTGAATCTAGTAAAGTGCTGACAAAAATTTCTGCTGGGATGTGCAAGTATTCTGACAGATAGTTAACGAGTATGCCAAAGCTTAAGCAGAACATGTGACGGGGTTTTTGGCACTTGCAGCCTCCAGCTGTTTGTGAGTCGAGCACTTAGTGACAAAATATCAAGCTTTGGCAGAAGCAGTATTTCCCTAGATGAACTGGAGTATTTTCTAGACTCAGAGAAGAAAGACATGTAAAATACTTTTCTGGAAGGATCAAGAAAGAACTGCATGAACTATTTTGGTAGCTCAAGTAGCAGTTGTTTATCCTTCTTAAAATTGATACAGTAACATAGCCATTGTTAAGTAAATACCATAAAGGTGCTTTCTTTCCAAGCATATTCCTCTATGCAGGATATTTTGCTGCATTTCTCAAATGTTGGGGCCAGTGACCAAAATGCCAGTAAGGAGAAGAGGCAGTAAAAAAAAAATGTATATATTCTTCAGAGAAATGTTAAAAACTGCCAGGTAGGGACTAATAATTGTTCAAGCTGTATAGCACATTAGTAGTAGAGACGTAGAGATCTAAGACCTGCTTGTCCTTTCAGTCTTCTGCTTTGATGGATTTGCAGATGCTGTTGAAGTGCTGGACAGTTAAAGACGCAAAACTGTTCTTACCAAATAGGCAGGCTGCGTTAAAAAAAAAATTCATTCATGCCTCTTTTAAAGTTCAAAGCTTCAGCAAGACCAGCTGGCAGAAAGAAAAGAAAACAACAGAATGTTTTCTAATGTTCATTAAATCACACAAAAAAATTCCCAACCCACACCTTTGCTAAAAATGGTACTAGGCTAAGTGAAAGCTTTTTATTGTTCTGCTTCTGGAGCCTGTGCTCAGATTCAGCCCAGACACATTTCATGAACTGTATCACAGAAATAAATACCTACTCTTATTGAATATAGAGCTATCCAGCAGTCAAAGCAGAAATTCAGTCAAAAGGGAAACTACAAGCTTTGCATCCCACTTAATACAAAACATAAAAAAGCAAACAAAAAAAATGCAACTTTCACATTGAGAAAAGCCACCTTTTCTGCAAAGATTCCTTGTTAATATGGAGAGGCCTTTCCTCAGCAGGGTAACAGCACAGGATTGCAAGGTTTTCTGATGCATTAGAGTGAAGCAATGGGTAGAATAAGAGCAGTGTATACAAGCAACATAGACAAGCAACTTGTCTGAGAAGTGCAACTCATCGTTGAGTGAAGAATAGGTGAGGAAAGGCAGTAAAGAGAATAGAAAGATGATAAGAAAAAAAGAAACAAAGACTCACCAGATAGAAAGCCAGTTCCTTTAGAAGTAGGCCAAGCTACACTAAGACCATGCTAAAAGACCATGGCTCACAAAATAATCTCAAAGGCGTTAGAAGGAGATACAACAGGAATTCCTAAGGCTGATCAGTGTCAAGATTGAGTTTGGCTGCGCTAATTAAAAGCAGTATGGTCACTGAAAAGTTATGCTTTCCATAGCCAAAGAATATTGCACAAAACATCCTGTACTACATGATGCTACCGAAATCCTCAATGTATGGCATATATATTTTAGGACCATTTAATAAAAGGCAAAATCAAAACCAAAATAAAACAACAATAAAAAATATTTAATGACCATGTCATTTATATGTAAATACTTATGTATGTACAGATACACATGCACACATACCTATGTGTACATATACACATGTGTATATAAACTGTGTATATCAATACTAGACACACTTCTTACCTAGTATATGCAGTAAGGCAATTTTCAGTCTTCTGCTTCTGAGATCCTTTCCAAAGGCGTCGTCCTTACTTAGGCTCACCGTTGCTGAAGCCATGTATTTCCATATCTTCTGCACTCTTTAAATTGATAGTTCATCTTCCCAGGCCAAGATTATATGACCTGCTTGTTAAGCTACTTTGGCTTCAGAGATACAGATGAATTCAGGAAAGGTTGGTGGGGGCAGTTAACTAACGATTAAAACCAGCCACTGCAGTCATCAGATGCCTGACTGCACAACCTCCTGCTTAGCTTATGGCTATACTTGCCCCTACTTGTATTTCCCTATTTCCAGGCTCAGTTGGGGACTGCCTGTGAATGAAAGGGATGGAAACTACAGTGGCACTCCCTGATGCAGCTCTGCAAAATACCCAGCCAACTGGTTTGCCATGCAACATTCAAGTGATGAAGGGGTAAAACCTGGTAGAAACAGGCTCAACACCCACTGACTCCAGTGGATTTATACTTGCTTACTTTGGAACTCAGTTCAACATCATGTCCTAAGCTTGTGTAACCGCAACAGGGAAAAAATGACATTCACTGTCACAGCCTTATATTTTCAGATGAGAGAGGAATTAATCTACAGCTCTCTGCCCTGTATGTGCAGTCAGGGTTGTCTTTTCCCAGCTTCAACACTGCTGTGCTACATTCCTGCTTGACAATCTCTATCTTCAAGAGCTGGCAAGAAGACAAGAATTTCGTTTTCAAAAGCTTGTCCCATCTTATGTGGGATATCAACATATTTCCATGAAAAACTTGAGCTTGGAGGCAAGCTGATGTTTTCCAATGCAAAACCATTTTCCCCCTCAAACCCTTCTACAGCTGCTCTAATATCAGCTTCTAAGTTATCGCTTGGACAAAAAACTCTTTTCAAAGGTAGATTCTTTCCTTCCATACATTTTTGAAACAGCACAAACTGTAACTGTACTGTAACAGTACAACCAAAAACACTCAGGCAGCACAAGAGGAAGTTACCTTCTGCATTGCACTCGGGCAGGCCATTGAACCCTAGCATCAAGCTGCCCTCATCATCATACTGTGCGTAGGTGCCTGGAGGGCAGGTAGGGGCTGGTTTCTCCGTGGGTGGTTCAGTTGTGGTTGGTTCAGGAGTGGTGGTGGTAGTTGTTGTCGTTGTTGTGGTAGTTGTTGTCGTTGTTGTGGTAGTTGTTGCGGGTGTTGTGGTAGTTGTAGTAGTTGATGGAGTGGTTGTTTTCTTAATCATTTCAAGACCAATCAGAGGTTTCCCTCCAAGGCTTATTATTGGCTTATCTTGTGCACTTGCTACAGGTTTACTAAATCTGCCATGACCAAACAAAGGCAATCCATCAGGACTCACCATTGGGGCACCCTTCTCATCTAGGAGAGAAGAATAAAGCCCAAAACAAAATCTCATTATTAATCCATTGCAGGTTTACAGCATGATATTTAACAGCAGTACATTCCACAAGGGCACTGAGTGTGGTCACAGTGTCTTGTAACCAGGCTGACAGAGAAGGAGGTTGTTATCCAAGGAAGACCCATGTCTAGAGAAGCTGGAAAAAGGTTCTGAAGAATCTCTGACAAACCACAAGGATGTTCACTTTTATCAACAGTGCATTAAACATTTCTTGGGAACTCTATGGGGAGATTTTGCTTCAGAGTCACTATGTGAAGCCTGCATTTAATCTAAATTAATCTCTTACTTGTTGCTGAAAGGTATGATGAATCCATATTCTGCTCTCTAATGTTAAACATATGCAAATAAAGTCCGGGAGAAGCTAGTAAGATGTTGCCACTGCAAGAAAAGTATGAGCTAAGTTCTGGATGTTGCCAGTATTTATGGTAAGCAATTTAACTTCAGGCACTGAATTTGCATTCAAGAGACCTCTTTAGATGGACTCATACACAACCATCAGTGCCTTTACAGATCACATGTAGTTTTTATTACTTGTGGACAACTTCAGAAATAAAATATTTATGGCTGATACAGTGCTGTTGATAGCTAATAATTATCTCTACATATAGAAAGACATACTCAAGCATCAAACCTTATTTTTGTTCCATTCTGCTATCCATTCTCACACTGAAACAGTTGAAATGGACTTTGGTGATTCTCCCTGACTACGCTCTGTGCAAGAGTCAGGTCCCACAACATGCTGACTGCCCTTGATAAGCTGAGGTGCAGCGACCCAAACAGCTTGCATGGCGCTTGAGCATGCTCAACAGCTCTGAAAGACTTGTCCCCAAGACTTGTCCCCCTTTCATAAACCTAAAATAAACATAAGATAAACATTGTGGGATGCCTTCTAGCTATACATCTTGACTGCACAGCCTATGGTGAGAGGAAAAAAAAAAGAAAAAATCAAAAAAAGAGAAAGTGAAAAGAAAGTGAAAGGAGTTGCTAACACAAAGATTTTGATCTAGCATTACTATAATCCAAAAGCAAATCCATTGCCAGTATATGCTCCTCAAGCTCAGGTCTTCTTCCCTTGCCACTTCCTTTTTCTAAAAACAAGCCATCTGCTGAGCCTTATCCAGAAGTCCAAATCAGCAGTGCAAGAAAACTGAACAGTAGAGGAAAGCAAATCCTGCAGAACGCAGGCACCATGACTTCAAGTAGCTTGCTTTGTTTACATTCAGTTACATTGTTGAGAACTTCTCAAAAATGCAACCAAATTAAGTGGGAATTATCTTCATCACCACTATTTGCTTTTATGAAAATGTCAGAAATGTTTTTTTTTTTTTCTACAGGAATGCAAAAGTACCCAGCACACAGCCTTTGTTCCAGTTCAGAACTATGAATATCACCTGAGTAATCCTATTCAGAAAAGGGTATTTGCAAGGAAACAGTGGCCTGGATTGTTCATCCCTCCCATGCAGGCTGAAAACAGCTACTGCCTCAAGGATAATAACTCTTGGCAATCATCAGAGAGAAAGACTAATGAAGTGCTAAAGATATAGTCAGAGCAAGCCCTAGGATGACATTTGTTTTGTCCCATCCCCCTAAGATTAAAGAGTACTGTGGTACTGTACAAGTACAATAAAGACTATATTTACCAAGAACAAGCCCTTTTCTTTTATCAAAAAAAGTATCAAAATTGATCCCTGAAAGAGCAGTGACATTTTTCAGGAATTTCTAGTTCTGAGTAAGAATGGACTGATTTTTTAAAAAATGATGATCAAGGAATTATAAGCTGAAGTCCTAGAGGCCATTAAAAATAATGATATCCCTCTAACAAAGTTTGTTTTCAAGGAATATCACTAGAGTTGAGAAAGGAATTAATGTGGGGACTGAGCTGTGGAGGTCTTTGCCATCAGATGTTGAAGCTGAAAACAAGAATTTAACAGGAGGCACCACATGTTATATGGTTACTAAGAATACTGTAATTTGGGAATAACTGATCACCAGAACAGCATCAAAAGGGACATTGTTCAGAAAAAAAAATCCAAACAATGGAGACTGATGAGATTTAAGGTAAAAACAGAGTACCCTATGGCTACGTAGCACAATTATCTTAGATATTCCTAGTGTCTCATGCTAGAGCACAGCCCATCAGCCAGTCAGGATGTCACGGCAGGCCTGGCACTGCTGAAGCTCCTAGGCTCTGTTTTATTATTTGCTGTGAGGAGAGAGCATTTTTATGAATTCACATAATTGTCACTGGCTGGGCTTATTCTTCACCCAGAAAGCCTAAAGCTACAGAAGGCTCTCAGGAAACTGCCCTAGGAAACTGCCAGGCAAAAGGATGTTGCAGCATGCAGCAGATCCAGCAAACAATCCTTGAAAGGCTTCCACCTCCTGGAACGGGTCAGTCCGAAGGCCCAGCTCCGAGCAGTTATTTTCAGGCTGGACCTTTGCTCCTGCTAAGTCCAGCTTTGTGCTGGGTGGCTGAAGAGCAGCTCCTGCTGTCATCTCCTTGTTCAGGAAACTTGGAGACTATGTAAACCCCCTCTAATGGACTGGGATTGTGTTCTCCCCACCTATGCTCATTGCTCATTAGGGTCTGTTACTGTGCACACGCAAACTGCTGGGTTTTCTTCTTTATAAGGAAGCCAGTACTTACCAACAATTGTACGTCCATCCCCTCCTAATTTCACTCGTAGAGGGTTGCCTTGGGAATCTTGGAGGTATTTTCCTTCAACATTTAATACTAGTCCTCGGTCGAGATCTACAATCTAAAAGCAAAAGTTGGATTTAAATTCAGCTAGCCTGCAAGAATGTTAAATGAAATTTAATGACAAAAGAAACCCCGGGGAAATACAGACTTTAAGTGTGATGTTCAGGAATAGCTACAACACTGACAGTGACTTTTAAGTGTAAGTCACTAAATGATTTAGGAATCTCTAAAAAATCACTGCTTAAGAAGGCAAATCTCCAGAAACTCCAGAGACTCCAGAGCTGCACAACCACATCACCTGCTACAGGACTCATTAGCAAAGGACAACTCTATTTTCTTGGGCTATATAACTCCAAAGTTGGATTCTTGTAATACTGATTTGAATACAACCCTGGGTCCTTTTGAAAATGGGATTTAAGAGTAAGTTTATCAATCAGAAATATATATATATATATACACTAGCCCATTTAGATTAAAACAGCCTTAGATAATAAATTATCTAAGATTTTAACTGGGGTAGGAGACTGATGGAAAGCTTCTGTCTCATAAATCAAACCCACCTGAGTGCTTGGATTGCATTCAAGGGGGTAACTAGTTAAAATTGAGTACCCACTGCTACTTCAGCCCAAAGTAGCTCAATGGACGCTGTTTTAACCTCAGTTAATATTCAGTACTCCACAGAACAAAATGTGTTAAGTATTGAGAAGACACTGGGGAAACCACACAGTAGCAGTTTCAAGTTGGCAAGCAAGATGTATATTTGGCTTTAGGAAACTCTCTGTAGCATGAAGACAATAACTCATGAGAGCAGATTCCTTCTGGAGGTCTCCAAGCTGCAGCTGGTGACATAGATGAAGGTATGGACTGTCTTGCTGGGAGCAATGCCCTCTTCTTCAACCTTCATTACCTTGGGCAGGGAGAGAGAACAGACCACATCCCTTCAGGGACCCTTTCAGCTCTCTTTCCGCAGTCTATTTAAATGTCCTTGGACATGCCTTTCAAAATGCCTCCCTTAATATGCTGTCCTTGATGCACATTCTAATGTTTCTCTACTGCAAGCTAGTAAATTAGAGTGGCTACAAAACCTTGATGCACATTCTAATGTTTCTCTATTAGAGTGGCTACAAAGTGTCTTTACACCTCTCCATTTATTTGTATCACTTACTGTTTTGCCGTGTGAGTGGCTCCACTGACTTCAGTGAGGCTG